GGCTTTGGATCTAGATAAAGTTGTGAAGCGTTTTGCTGAGCAACATGGAAATCACTGCATTCAGCTGTTATAGTCATGGTAACTTTATGTTCTGCTCTCTGGTGAGCCTTTACACAGCTGTTACATTTTGTTTTGGCACCTGAGAAAATCTGATATTTCCTTTAATAAAACCAAAAGTGTTAAAAGTTAAAAATGTGATACTGGTGTGAATCCTGCTTAATATGAAGCATTGTTGTTGTTTCTTTTTTTGTAAATATAATATGAAACTATCCAGAAATGACCTGTATGAACCTAATCACAAGCAAAATGTATTTTTATGTTGCTTCTTTTCAGATTTGTGGAGATTTTGATGTAACATACAGAACCCGCCTTTTTGTTGATTTGTTGATACAGCAGTATGGAGGACCAACTCTGCCATATTTAAAAATAAATACAGAAATAAATAAATGCTCAATAAATAAATAAGCATACAATTAATTGCCACCAAAAATACAAACAACAAATAAATGTAAGTAGAAATTAAATTATACAGCTAGTCATAAAGGTATATAACTCTTTTAATTGGCTTCTTTATTTCTTTGCCTTTTTAATATTTACCTTATTTATTTTTTTGTCATTTATTTTCTTCAACTTCATTTTTTAATTACTTATATTTTTAAGTATTTATTTATGTGCATGTTATCATATTTTTGTCTGTTTTATTCTTCCTTTGTATTTTTTTACCCTAGTTATTTCTTCGCTGCTATTTCTTTCTGCCTGCCATTTTAACATTTCTGCCTGCCATTATAATATAATTTCTAATTACATTTATTTGTTGATTGTATTTTTGGTGGCAATTAATTGTATGCTTATTTATTTATTGAGCATTTATTTATTTCTGTATTTATTTTTAAATATGGCAGAGTTGGTCCTCCATATACAGCTCTATCTACAGCATATTTACATGCATGAAATGTCCCTTTCATGTTGCCTTAACTGCTGTATGTCAAGTTACTGAGGAACAAATGGGGTAAATGTGTGTTCGGAGGAAACCATACATGGATGTCCAGTACCTTGTTCGGGTGCCTTGACCCATTTATTTCTACTGTGTAGTTCTGCTCACTTTAGTACAGCTCAGTCCATAGATCTCTGATAGGTAACTTTTTCTTTCTATAGTTTCTTCTTGTGCAAATGCTGCAAAGCTGCCTCTCTGACAGTCAATCTCACACATCTGCGACTCAGCACCTGTGTCTTACCTTAATACCTTTCCTGTCTTAAGGCCCCTCTAGAAGTAATGTTATCATTCTTCTATCTCCTATTAAGTGAGATCACATTGTACGATGTATTTCTAATAAGAACTGTTTCACATGAAACACTAGTACTGTACATACTATTCTCACCAAACTGTGATGACTGTGATTAAATTCAGTGTAAACAAATGCCATATGTTGCCACCCCTAAAAAATTCCTGCCCCCCTCTTGCCACCCCATAAATATTTTTCTAGATCCGCCCCTGGACACATTTAATGATTTATTTAATGCTGTATTTATTAATTTCATTTTGGCACTTTTTATCCTCCATAGAAAACAGATCTCCACTTGCATTTTTAATGGTTCAGTTCTCTTGAAACATTACTGTTTTCTTCCTAGTTGTGGGTAGGGGTTTGGGTAAAAATCAATTTGGCAATATATCATATAATGGGACATTTGTGTCTTTATTATTCAATGAAAAAAGTAGTTGCTTCAAACAAACAAACAACAGAATCAATTTAAAAAAGTAACTTCAATGAAAAGATAAACGTTTTCAATCATAGAAAATAGTTTTTGAATGCAAATAAAATATTTGAGACTCAAAAAATTGCATTTGATCAGTTTTTGTTTTTTATTGTTGAAAATTTTCTCTTTGGTTGAAGGGATCTATTTAGTGTTTGGGCCATACATGGGTAGGACATTTGTGTCTTAATCATTCAATTCCCAAAAAGTTGTTTCAATCAAAAAAAATTAATAAAAGAAAAACTGTGCAAATGCAAAAAGTTAAAAAAATTAAGTTAAAAAAATTTGAAGTACAAATTTTTTTGATTGAATAATTTTAACACAAACGTTCCTGCTGCTGTGAAGCACGATTCTCCTAGCCTCGTGAGACCATCCTGATCTCGTGAGCTTTCAAGGTTTCACTCGCTAATCAGTCTGGAGACTCTCCGTTAAAGAAAAATTGGAGCCGTTCACCAAACGAACGTCCAATCAGCGTTGGCTTTGAGGCGGGTTGAGGTGTGACGCAACGAGAAGCGCGACAGCTCAGTCTAAAGAACACGGCGGCTTCAGCCGATGAAACTAGCGTTAGCGTGGCTATCGAGCAAGTTTTATCAGAATTACAGAGTATTTCTTCACTGAAAGAAGAGCAAAACACTGCTCTGGAGGCTTTTCTCAGAGGAAAAGATGTTTTTGCTCTTCTCCCGACTGGTTTCGGCAAGAGTTTGATCTATCAATTGGCTCCTCTTCGTCGTCGCTCAGTTAGCACGTCATATGCTTCGTTGATCTGATTGGTTTATTTGGCCCGTCTATCACCAACATAGGCCAATCAGCTAACCAGTATTTTCGCCCCTTCCCAAACAAACTTCAACGGAAGGTTTCCAGATGGATATGCGGAGCAAATCCATGTGGCGGAGTCAGGTTAGGATTCTCCACCATGAACTTGCTTCGTGCTTGAACGTGCTTGAGAATGGCTTAGTCTCCGTTTAAACCCAGGTTTAAAGCCTTGCAGGGCAGCCTAAAGCCCGCTGCCAACATTAAGACAGGAAAAAGAAAGGATGGTCAGTTCAGGTGTTTAATAAAATATGGGAATCGGGAAATGGTTTATAAACCAAACTGAAAGATTGTTGTTCTCTACTTCAAAAAACACTTTAGATTTTAATTTAGATAAAATTATTATAATTTTTTATATTTTTTTCTTTGAAAATTGAGTGTATAACATGGATGCATAAAAAACTCATTTTATTTCAGTGTTGAATTCTGTTTAAATTAACAGATTATAATTAAAATGTGTCTGAACCTTTACTGGTTGATGATTTACTTTATTTGGACCTCTCTGATTTTTCTACAGGTTAGCCCCAGCCAGCCGTAGCCTCTTCCTTCTCAATCTCCCTGGCGAGCTTAGCTGATATACCTCTTCATGGCCGCCCCTAGCCTATCCCTTTAACTTTAGTGGAGCGGTCTGCTGCGATCTACCGCTGTGCTCCTACAGTTAGCCTCTATAGCTAGCCCCTACCAGCCATATCCTCTCCTTGCTCTGACAGTTTCCCCCTTTGGGCTTCTCCAATCTCCCGCTGTGCTGCGTCCCCCAATGCTCAAGCTGAAGCCAGCTTCCCTGAGCTTAGATCGCCCACGAGTTCCTGCTTGGCCCTCCGTCTTTTATTGTATGATTGGCTGTTGCTCCTTGGAAGCTCGCTTTACAAACACCTGATGCTCCACTGAATCGGGTCTGTGAAAGGTCACGTAGGAAGATGAGTGAGGTGAGGGAGTCTGCGGCTCTAAATTAGGCATTCTTTCTTCATAATCTAGTAGAGTTGTAATAGCAGGTGTGTTAATCTAAGAATTGGTGCCAAATGTTAATGTGAGTTAAATTCAAAGAGTTGTGTAACATCCCTCCTAAAACACCTTCACTGGATCCATAAAGCAGCAGATCCACTTCAAGATTCTCCACCGCTTTATAAACCCCTTAACCTTGTAAAGTATATTTGTTTTATTAAAAGTGCTGCTAAATCAAACATATTATTGTTATATATTATTATTATCATCAAAAAGGGGAAAACGACAATGTATGAATATGATTTTTTTAATGTTGGGATTTTGTCCGATATCCGATATTTTAAAACTCATGTAGCCGATAACCGATATCGATACCGATGTTAAAGCTGGACAAAAATAAGTAGTCATTGAAAATAGCAGTTTTGTTATCCATTTCTGACACTTTGAAAAATAATATACTCAAATATATTTTCATATGCTGATATCAAATTGATTTTTAAAAACGCGGTATCGATCTATTTTACTTTCAAAATCTCGTGAAATTTAATCGTTCTGTTACAAACTCTCGTGATATTTTGCAAATTCTTGTGAGATTTTGTTAGTAAAATAGATCGATACCGCGTCAATATATCAACATATAAAAATAGGGCAACATTTTGTGAATTTTCGGGGGATTTTGTAGCATAACGATGACATATAGCAATATTTCATTAGTAAAACAGATTGATATGGTGTTTTTAAATGGCAATATATCAGCATATGAAGATATTGGGATATTTTAATGGATCAATATTTTTTCCCTCGTCTTTAGAAGTTTTTAAGTCTGTAAAAAAGAAGTTTTTGAGGAAGAAACAGAAGTAGTATTAATTTTTTTTTTTAGACTTTAGAAACTCAGAAGCTGATCAAATATCGGGTTAAATATCGGTGGGGAGGCCGATGTCCCATATTCAGTTTTAAGGCCGATACCGATAGGGGGCCGATTATATCGTGCATCCCTAGTTTTTATATTTTATCCCACTTTTTATCACGCAATATGCAATCCTCGTCTCTGCGATTCTGTGTTAAAGTTGAAACATAGACTCACAAATTTTATAATCCAACATTTTTAATTGACGTTGTGAGCACATCGGAGCAAACTGCAGCGGAGTGAAATCCTTTTTGAAAATTGAAATTGAAAACCGCTCTGCGCTCCACCATGCTTTCTCCGCTCGCTCCACGCTCCGCTCACATGCTCTGATTGTGAGTTTAAATAGGTGGTGAAATGAAACCAAAGAATCTTGGTTCATTGCTGATAATTCATCATTTAGGTCCTTTTTCACATTGAGGCAGGTTGGTTTGTTTTGTGCTTATTTATAAATGTTGAATGGAATGTGTTAGGTATTTTTCAAAGCTGTGGATGAGAGCTTTAATGTTCTCCTGTTTTGCTGTGTTATAATTATACAACCACCAGTCAAATCAAGGAAGGAATTGCTGATCTAAATGCTTTTCTCTTTCAGAATCACTGCTTCTACCACGGCCATGTGAGAGGGCATCCAGGTTCCTGGGTGGCTCTCAGCACCTGTTCAGGAATAAGGTACGATCCACACACAGCACTGTTTACGCTACATGTATGTGTTCATTTTTATGAAGGGAGATTTGTTTCTTTATTATTCAATAAAAAAAAAGGTTGCTTCAATTAAAAAAATCTTTTCAATGAAAGAAAAAAAGTATTTGAATGCAAAAATATATTTGAGACTCAAATACATTTGAACACTGCTTTTCTTTGATTGAAAATGTTTTATTTGATAGAAGTGTTTTTTGTTTAAAGCAACTTTTTCAATTTAAGTAACATTGTTTTTTGATTGGACATTATAATGGGACATTTGTGTCTTTAGTCTTCAATCAAAAAAGAAGTTGCTTCAAACAAACAAACAAACAACAGAATTAATAAAAAAAAGTAACTTCAATGAAAAGATAAACGTTTTCAATCATAGAAAATAGGTTTTGAATGTAAATAAAATATTTGAGACTCAAAAAATAGCATTTAAACACTTTTTTTTATCGTTGAAAATGTTCTCTTTGGTTGAAGGGATCTATTTAGTGTTTGTTTCAATCAAAAAAAAAAAAAAACAATCAAAGAAAAAACTGCAAATGCAAAAAAAAAAAATACCATATGAATAAATTTTTTTTTTTTTTTTTTTTCAAAGTGAAAAAAAAAAATTCAAATTGTTTTATTTGAATAAATTTTTTTTTTGAAGAGCAAAAAGTTTTGAAGTTCAATTTTTTTTTATTGAATAATTTTGACAGAAACGTTCCGCAGTGGGCGGGTGCTTCTCTATTGGTCAGACATGTTTGATTGACAAGTGTCTACACTTTCCCTGTCTTTCTTTCAGCAGACAACTGTATTGAATTAGAAATTTGAAACATTTCTTCACCCAAAAAGATTTTGAGTAGCTGTGCTTTTATTTTTATTTTTTTTTATTTATATATATTTTTTCATATTTTATATTCTCAAATTTTTCTTGTTTTTTTTTTTTTTTTTCAAATGAATAATTCATATTTTATTTTCTCAAACATATTTTTTTCCAAAAAAAATCAAACTTTGTTTTATAGATTTGTTAATATTTCAATTTTAATATTACTAATGTTGTTTTTTTTTTGCCTTTTTATTTTATTCTAAAAAAATACATGAAAATGAAGGAAATATAGAAACAGGATCAGTCAGTTGAAGAGCAAACAACAGAATCAATAGAAAAAAAGTAACTTCAATGAAAAGATAAACGTTTTCAATCATAGAAAATAGTTTTTGAATGTAAATAAAATATTTGAGACTGAAAAAATTGCATTTAAACACTTTTTTTTATATTGTTTAAAATGTTCTCTTTGGTTGAAGGGATCTATTTAGTGTTTGGGCCATAAAAGTTGTTTCAATCAAAAAAAAAAAAAAAAAAAACTCAAAGAAAAAAACTGTGCAAATGCAAAAACAAAACAAACAAAAAAAATACATACCCTATGAATAAATTGTTTTATTTTATTTTTTTTTTGGTTGTTTTTTTTTTGTCAAAGTTTTTCCAAAGTTTGAATCAAAATTTTTTTGAAGAGCAAAAAAGTTTTGAAGTTAAATTTTTTTGATTGAATAATTTTGACAGAAACGTTCCGCAGTGGGCGGGTGCTTCTCTATTGGTCAGACATGTTTGATTGACAAGTGTCTACACTTTCCCTGTGTTTTTTTCAGCAGACAACTGTATTGAATTATAAATTTGAAACATTTCTTCACCAAAAAAGTTTTGAGTAGCTGTGCTTTTATTTTTATTTATTTTTTTATATATATATATATATTAGTGCTGTCAAACTATTAAAAATTTCAATAGCGATTAATCGCATATTATCAACAGTTAACTCGAGATTAATCGCATATTTTATCTTTTTCTTTTATTTATTTTATTTGGCCATTTAAAAATGCAATTGTGCAATAATGTAAAAAACACATGCTTATACAAAAAAATTTTTTTATTAGCATAATTTTTCAAGAACTTTTAAGAAACTAGAATAAAAATATCCTGGTTTAAATTCTAAATTTTAAATTAGGCGTTATGCTTCCATTAAAACTTTACAAAACTACAGAACAGTAAACAGTACTTCAAAGTACTCCGTAGGCTTACGTTTTTTCTCAAACATAGGACAAAAATAAAGATGTTAAAATAAAGTGCACATTCCGTTATGAAATACAGACTTAATTAAAATGAAATGAATTTACTCACAAAAATAATAAATAAATCAGACGAAATTGCAATAACTGGGCTTTGCAGGCATCTCAACAACATAGCATTTTACATGTAGAACATTTTCAAAATGCTTTAATATTCCTTTGGTCTGTACAGGAGCTGCAGCAGCAGTGCAGTCCACGTTCATTTCTTTGTCTTGTTGGCACTAAGCCAGTGAGACGCTCGTTTCTTCTGGACAACATAGAGAGACGACTTGGGTTTTGTCAAGAGAACCTTCTGGCATAACTTAAAAAAGAAACGTATCATTCAGGATACCTTGTCTGCCGGCCATTTTTGCTCATTCAAAGCACGGGTCTGTTATGCTGCGGACTCTCCCGCAAACTTAGCGTTCCTGAAGCTACGGAAAGCGCCGAGGGTAAAACAAACAGTACAGCGAGCGCTGCGGAAAAATAAAGAACACAAGCGAACGGTGCGTTTGTTTTGATGCACGATCAACGTGCGTTAAAAAAAATGTCGGCGTTATAGTCTAAAGCAGTTAACCCGTTAAATTTTCTAAAATTTTTCTTGTTTTTTTTATCTTCAAATGAATAATTCATATTTTATCTTCTCAAACATATTTTTTTACAAAAAAATCCAACTTTGTTTTATAGATTTGTTAATATTACTAATGTTATAATTGCATTTTTTTTTTTTTGCCTTTTTATTTTATTTGAAAAAATACATGAAAATGAAGGAAATATAGAAACAGGAACAGTTAGTTAACATGAGCAACATGTGATTATGTAAATAAAGTTCTTTCCCTCTAAAATCTCAGAAGCGTCAGAATGACGGCGTTGGGAGTTCTAGTGTTAAAGCTGTTTTTGTGGATTTAAAAAGCTCCCTGTTTGATGGAGGGAGGTTTGGGTGCTGACAAATGCGTCGGCACTCTTTAGGCTCTTTGTGCGGCGCTGGGAAGGTAGCCAGATGCTGTCTGCTGACAGCAGCTTTGATGGGAACACTGCAGAGATGGAAGTGAAAAGAGCTCCAGGAGCCGGCAGAATGCTAATGCTTTTTTAAATGTCCACTCAGTCACACAGCTGTGGAAATAAAAACCAACCACAGCTAATTTGCTGGCAGATCTAAAGAGCTGAAAGGAATTTCATGAAGCCAGTAAATATTATTTGGTTTTCTGGCTACGGAAAGGCCAGAAAATGCTAAATTAAACAAGAAAAAAACTTGTTTTATAGCGTAACTGTAACGCTATAGCGTAACTTTTATAACTGGTATAGAAACATTTTGTAAAGTCGTCACCATAACTATATCTTAATTTTTTTTTTCTATTCACAGCTTGTTTTTCTGACGTTTAAATCAAACTGTTCTGATTAACACTTTATTTGGCCTTCAGGTCTCGTTCTACATGAAGGAGGTAATTCAGAAACTCATGCTTCAACGTTTTAACGAATAAAAGCAAAGGTTGTTTTTTATCAGCTAATTAAGGGTGTAAATCACAACCATCATGGCGATTCGATTCAGTATCAATTTCCTGACCCAACGATTGGATTATTTTCGATACTCAAGAATACACCACGATACGATTCGATTAATCGGTTCTTTTTTTTTTTTTACACCTTACAGGCTAAACAAAGCTTCAAGATTGAAATAAATCAATGAAAGCTGTAATATCGTTATGCATTTTTTTTTTTTTTAGAAACAACAGCAAATAACAGAAGTAGAAAAGTTGCATCAAAAAATACTGCAAAAAAAAACTGCAAAAATCCTGCAGTGCAATGAGTTCAATGCAATACCTCGGCTCCAGAGGCTCCGCCCCCTCCACAGACGCTCCGCTGCTCCTCTCCCAGATTGTAGCTGACCGCAGACAGGAGGCCGGCTTGTTTTCTTTTTATGACCGAAATTGCGGAAAACAACTCGTGAAGTTTGACCCGCTAGAAGAGCGAGGTGCGCGAGAACGCTGGGACCCTTTTTCCACCTTGATCTCCGCTCTTTTTGGCCCTCATGTCCCTTCGTCGGCGGACTAAACTCGCCCCCACTTCCTCGCCGCCTCGGCCGTATCTAGACCCACAGCGTGTAGCACAGACCACGCTTCAATATTGAGCATAATTTAAAAATGTCTGCATCAAGCTCACTGCAACACACTGCTGTAAGAGTATAACCAGGAAGCGAGGCAGGAGGGCAAAATAGGTTTAGCGCCACCGCAGCACGGGAGGAGAATTACGCCCAGGAGCAAATGGATAAAAATAGACCGGAGAAAAAAACAAACATGAATGGATTCTTTTGCGGACGTGTCGATGCATCGGATCGTCAGCTGTTGGATCGATGCATCGATACAAAACGATTATTATTTACATCCCTACAGCTAATGAGATCATAATTGAACTCAAATAGTCATTTCTTAGCGTAAAATAATCCGAAATAACATCTTTTACAGCCTGAAAGTTCATTTTTCATCCGTCTGTTTTAAACATAGCCTGATTCACCTCTACTTACTGCACAGGTTGCATTTGTCCCCAAAATAAAACCTCTCAATCCGTACCCACGTGTTGTAAAGGTCTGGTTATCGTCCCGCAGCAGTGTGTCGCAGTGAGCTTGTCGCAGATATTTTTTGAGTTATGCCCGATATTGAAGCGTGGTCTGCGCTATGTTATTCCACGCCACAACGCCAGAGGGCCAATCAGGAACCAGCTGTGGCCGAGGTGTTGAGGAAGTGGAGGCAAGTTTGGGCGACAGCGTTCTCGCGCACCTCGCTCTGCTAGCTGCTACATCTTCAGATGTTTTCCGCAATGGCGGTCAGACAAACAAAACACCTGAGTGAAGTTGCCCCCCCCAAATCAGATAAAATTAGTGTCAAACTTTTGTGCTGGTTTGTGCAGCA